CCCGGATCGCCTTGCCCGGCTATCTGGGCATAAGCGTATCGTCTGACTCTACGGTTCGCTGCATCCTCATCTTCCTCCTCGGAGAATTCATCATCCTCGTCGTCGGAATCTCCTTCTTCGGAATCCTCCTCTTCGGAGTCGTCTGCATCATCGGAATCGTCTTCGTCGCCATCATCGCCGTCGCCGCCGTCGTCGGGGTTGCCGCCCCCAGGCACGCGACCGGACCCACCCTTCTTCTCTTCCCCGGCCCGTCTCCGTCACCGCGGGCACTGCCCTGGTGCAGGGGCTGATCGCCATCCCCTGCGAGGTCCCCCGCAGTGGCCGCGGCTTTCTTCGGCCGGGCTGGCGGAGTGCATCCAGGGAAAGTGCTGACAAGCGGTCCGTTCGGTTTCTTTTTCTTCATATGTTTTAATTTTTCCTGCATCCTGCTGGGGGCCGATTCCCTTCGATGGGCCTTGGCAGCGGCAATCTCTGATTCTCTTATGGTTGCCTCCGCCTTTTCGCGCATCTCCTCAGCCCGCGCTTGCGCTTCTTTCTCCATCGCGAGCGCACGCTGTTCGGCTCTCTCTGCAAGCTCGTGAATGCGTCGAAGGGCTACTGCCTCTTCATTGGCCCTTTGCATGTCTCTGGACCGCTTGGCTTCTTCCTCTTCTCGCATCCTTTTCTTCGCCATGGCTTCCTCCTCTTCATGCTGTCTTCTCAGCGCTATCTCATGGCCACGCATGCGATCGGCTTCGCACTGCGCACGCCGCCGCATGACCCAGTCAAAATGATGTTCACAAAACTGTCTATGGCATATTTGGCATGTGCGCGGGGCGTCAGCCTCGTGGCATGTAGAGCACCCGGTCGCATCTGATGTAGCCGGCCTGGACCGCGAATCCTCCCGATGGGACATCGCCCCACCGACGGGGCGGATCCGAATCGCCGATGCGGAGACGGCTCGCCTTACCGTGCTGGTCACGCCTTGGAGCCTATCCTGCGCCATCTGCAAGGCCTGTTGTCGGTGGGATTGTGCGCGACGTGCTTCCCATTCCTGCGCGTTCGAAACAGCTGCTCTGTGGTGGCGCTGCTTTGTCTCCTCAACTTCGGCCTGAGCTTGCATTTCAGCTCTCTCCGCAGTGCTTGCATTGCCTCTTCTGCCTCGGATTTCGCATGTGCGTGGCCTGCCTGGGAAGTTGCCGCAGCTATCTGGGCATTGCGTTGCAGCGATTTCAACTCTGTTGCCTTTCGTAGGGCTGCCTCGTGCTCTGCGAGGGCTTCCGTCCTGACTCGGATCAACGCTTGGGCTTCTCCGCATGCCTCCCCGCGAATCGCCATAGCTGAATCAGAAACTCGCTGGAGTTTGGCTTGCGCGCGGGCTGCCCCCATCTGTGCATTCCTGGTTTCGTCCTCCAGCTGTCGCTGTTTAGCCTGGGCTTCCTGTAGGGCCATGTCCGCTGTCCTCTTCGCCTCGACAGCTTTCTGCTCCAACTGGCGCCTCTCGGCGATAGACTCGGCTGCGATCTGATCCGCCTCGGAAACAGACCGTTCCTGCGCCATGGTTGCCTCTCGGGGCTTGGCGCGAACCTGTTCCTCGAACTTCGCTTCTCCGCCCTGCGTCCCGCGGAGTGGTTGTCGGGCCTGTTCCGCGATAGCCTGTTCGGCCCTTCTCTGTTCCTGGGCCTCTTCATCTGCTTTTAATGCGGCCTCATAGAGGACATCCTGCTGCTCCTTTTCCTTTTTGAGAATTGCATTAAGCTCATGTTCGGCCTGCTGTGCCGCCTGTTCATTCTGCGCTCTCTGCCTTGCTTCCACGTGCGCCATCATTGTGCGAATGGCCGCTATTTCGGAGACGCGCTCCTGCTCAATTTGGCTTTGCCTCATTTCCTGTTGCAACTCCCACTCGGGGTGTTTATGCGCAAAGCAATTGCGTTGCTTCGGTGGCAGGCATCCCTGGCAAAGCTACGCTAGATTGCACAGGCCACACTGTACGGAACAGCCTCGGCACACGGGCTTCTGACATGGTAGATCATCGGCAGTCCTGCCCGGACACCGACTCTCGGGGCCCGGCTCGCACGTCGGCCCGTGATTCGCACATGACTCCCTAAATGAGAATCGAGACGTAGATGACCTGGACATAGAGGGCCCGTGAATGGATCCCCGTGAGTTGCGACTTCGGCCGCCCTTTCCCGACCTCGACCTCCTGGAAATTGAGCCGGGTGACTCGAATAACTGCCTTCCACGGGGTTTCAGATCAGGGACTGGCTCGGGGCCCTCTGGACCACTCGAGCCGCCAGGCTCGGTCTTGGGGCGCTTTTCGTACGGAGATTGTTTCACGTCCACCGGGTCGCCCCTAGGGGTTTTTCCGTGACGAATCTCTATCCCAGACCCCCCGGACGAGGCCGCGAGGTCCTTTTGACGTTCGACACTGTCCCTTTCTCCGGACATAGTCCGTATCCCGCTTCTCCGGGGCTCGATCGGACGTCGATCCAAAACTCTTCTCGGACGAGCTCGATATTGTCATCGCCTTTACCGGCGCGGCGATGTGCTCGGTCTCGTCGTCCTCGTCCGATGAACTGGAGTTCGCGACATAGGCCTGATCAACGCCCCCCGACAGCGGGTTGCGCGGGCAAGGCTTTCCCCCATACCAATCATCCTCTTCGTCGATGTCATCATCTGGAACGGGGGTGTCTTCTCGCACACGGTTGACAGGGGTATTATGCTATCCCGATGGCCCACCTGCTGGAGACGGGGTTCGTATTTTGGAGAAGGGGTTCTTCTTGATCAGCTTCTCAATGGCCTTGTCATCCTCCTCTGCAGGTGGTATTGGTCTCTCAGGTGAATTGATATTCTGCAACATTGTTGCGTTTGTCTCTCGGATGCGTTGTGAGGTCGACTTTGTCGGTCCGTCGACTCGTTCCTTAAACATTTCCACACCTTTGGGGCTGGTCCTCCCTCCCGTGTTCTTCTCCACGTTCACGGAGGTACTCATACTTGCCCCATCTTTATCGACATGGTCGACTGTCCATAGCCCAGAGCTTTCGGCTGATAGCCCATCTTTACCCAACTTAGGCCCAACCTGGCCAATATCGTCAAGTAAGGTAGTTATCACTGTTGGGGTCCATGCTAGCGGGCCAATGGACATCGTGGGATGTAAAAGGATATGTGTCTCCCGTTAAGCTTTGGGTAAGGCAAGTATACAGTATGAGCACGCGCGCGCGGGGGCGGGCGCGGGTTTTTTTCCTCTCCGAACCACGAATAGCTGCAGACAGCCAAGCTTGTGTCTGCGTATGTGGTTATCTATACATCGACGGCGGCAGGGAGCGTATGGTAACGACTCCCCCCCCCTTCCTTCTCCTTCCTCCTTCCTCCTCCCGCTGCCCCCCCCCTCCCCCCCTCTTCGCCCTCAGGCTCCAGGGCTGCGCGGGCTGAGGTCCCAGGGGTGGTCTTCTGGCAGGGTTCGGGATCGTCGAGACGCAGCAGTAGCGGCAATTCGCGGCGTAGGGGTCCCAGGAGCGGTGTCCTGGCACACCTTCGGGTTCTCAAGCAGTGTTTCTCCAGCGGGGAACTTCCCTCAACGGAAAATATCGCGACGGAGGACCTATGGCATATCCTGCTGCTGCTGCTGCTGCTGTTCCTCCTCCTCCTCCTCGTCCGCCTCCTCCGCCTCCTCTTCCTCCTCCTCTCCTCCTTCTATTCCTCCCACTCCCATCCGCATCATCTTCCTCCTCCTCCTCCTCCTCCTCCCTCTCCCCGCCACTTTACCTACTCCCCGATCCCCTCTTCACTCAAGTCTACCTCCCTCTCCACAAGCTCAGCGTCACCGTCCTCATCCACATCCTACTGATCCTCCTCTGCGAAATATTTCTTCTGGGTCGTTATTCTCTCCCTACTCTACCTGCTCTCACATTCATCATCCTGCTACTTCCCGGCCTGCTATGGGTAGGGAAAAAAACAGCCCTGTGAAGCCGCCGGATAAGACCTTCAGCCAATCAACAAATTCAAGCAGGTCCGCCTTAGCGGCTCCTCTGAGGCAGCCAGCAGCCAATGCGGACCTCCCGCAAGTGGACGTCGATCTCGTGGGAGGCCCGCATTGGCCGCCAGACATCGCCCCCCCCAGAGGCCAACGCGAACCTCCCACAAGTGCTGCAATTTGGAGGAAGTCTGCGGCTGCCGCCAGTGATGGCCCCCAGAGGCCAATGCTGACCCTCCTCAAGTGAAGCGAGCTCCGGGAAGCTCGCACTGGCCCCTGGGGGGCATCCCCTTACGGCCTATGAGGACCTCCCCTGGCGGCAAGTGACTCCGTGCGCGGGAAGTCAGCATCTGCCTCTGGAGGCACTCCCTGGCGGCCAGTGCGAACTTCCCGCACATGGCTCCATTTGCGTCAGCATTTACCTCTGGGTGCCCCCCCTGGCGGCCAATGCGCACCACCCGAAGGTGGTTCCATTTGCGGAAGGTCCGCATGTGCCTGGGGTGGGGGCCTCCCCTGGCGGCCGATGCTGGCCTCCCGCAGATAGGCTCGCCTGCGGGAGGCCCGCATTGGCCTCAAGGCGCACCCCCTGCGCGGGAGTTCAGCATTGGTTCCGTGTGCGGTGGGTCAGCGCTGGCCTCTGGGTGCCATCCCGGGTGATCTCACGCAAACGGCCCCGCTCGGGAGGTCAGCATTGGCCTCCGGGGGCTCCCCTGGCGGACCCCCTGGCGTGACCTGCGAGCGTCGCACTATACCTTTGGCTTGGATCCCTCCCGGGCGCGGCTGGCCCCCTCCTACCTCGCGAGAACCCCCCTCGCCCTGCTCCCGCTTCCGTTCCGCCCGTGTTAATTCGTTTATTTGTCCATGGCGCCGCGCCGGCATGGGACAAGGCTGCATCCACCGCGCTCTCTCGCTTCTCTCTCTTTCCCTCTCCCTCACTCACCCTCTCTGTGCCTGAATACACGTTTGTGCAATTGTAGCGCTCGTGTTCTCTGCGCTGCTGGCACCTCGTGCATGTAAGAGCCCCCCATTTGCTCTCTCGCCGGCTCTCCTTTCTGGATTGACCGCAGGGTGTTTCGTTCCTTCTCGCTGGAGTTGTCCTTCCTCCTCGGCGCGGCTGGGGCAGTGGGAGGGCACCCCGGGGCCAGAACAGCGACGGTGCCTGGCCAGGGACGGAGGCACACCAGAAGGGGAGGAAGTGTGGGAGGGGGAAGGCCCAAGAGTACGACTGAAAAGGCTGCGCTAGATATTAAATGTTCTTAGCAATCCCAGGCAGCCAGGAGGAGCGTCTGCTCCCACCGATGGAGGCGTATAAAAACGCACATCGCCAAGGCAACGCTAGAGAACAGAAATTGGAAGGGAGCCTGGACCAACTCTCGGAATAAAAAGTGAGCTGGCCCTGCGCGTTAGACTCGACGCATAGGCAAGGGGGCTAAAGATGGGACCAATTTAGGTAAGCTACCGGAAAAGAAGTCGTGTCCAAGAATTCGAGGGAGAACACCTCTAAACTACCGGCGCACCTGAAGAAGCACCAGGGATCACCAGGACGGAGCGCCAGATCAAAAAGGCGGTGGCCAGGCAATGGTTACACCCCGTGGAACTGCCTGAGATCTGCGACCGACTGCGAACCCTACCACTGCGGATTCACTCGACGCTGGGGTGTGGGAACCCCCCGATGGGTTTTACCTGGCAACCGGAATCCGAAAATTCCAAGCTCCAACCGGCGTTTCGGAAGTCTAGCATATGGTTGCCAATAAAATTAACACCAGACAAATCAAGGGAGCGAAGAATGACCTACCGTGAAATGGGGAATTCTTTGTAAACAAAAACATTGGCGCATCAGAGAAAACTGTAGCCGTGCGTCGAAATTTTCTCCATGAGTTGTTCCCTCCAGGTGGAACTGCCACAATGCTGGTGGGCAATTTCCTGGCTGAGGGGGCTTCAGCAGAGCTGAGGCTTCCTCGGCTGGACAGGGGCCGCAGGCAACAGCAAACAGCTGCGCGGGGCAGCGCGGGAAAGCTCGAAGCGTATGCGGCTCGACGGCCAGCCACGTGCGGAAGTCTACGCGGAAGCTTGAGGCACACATATTGCCGCATGGGTGCGCATGTGGAGCACGTGGAAGCCGCGCGCTGGGAACACGTGGAGGGCGCTCGCGAGCCCTGTCATGGAAGGGCCGGGCGCTGACAAGACCTGCAGTCCCTGGTGTACCCAGCCAGCGCCCAGACCAGCCACGTCGTGGGTAATTACCAAGCTTCCTGGCGCGCGCTCTGCGAAGCCGAGGCTTGACCAGGGAACGCCGCAGAAGAGTTCAGAGTCCCAACAGTCCAGGGTGCCGTGCCCACAGGGTATTGTTTTCCGTTGTGCTGCGCAGCACGAGCGCTTCGTCATACAACGTGGCAGGCTGTGACATGTCGAATCTCGTGCGGACGGCCGGTAGCTACCTCCCCTCGCCCTCGCCTCCCCTGCAGACGCGACAGGGGCCCCACGGCTACTGCGGGAGGGGAAGGGGAGGCGAGGAGGCGCAGTGTACAAATCCTCGACCACTCCACCCTGGCGGCCCCAGCGCTCCCTCCTCGTCCTCACCCCCGGCCGCGGCGCCCCGAAACTCCGCAAGACGTCCGAGGAGGAGGAGGAGGAGGAGGAGGAGGAGGAGGAGGAGGAGGAGGGGGAGGAGGAGGAGGAGGAGGGGGAGGAGGAGGAGGAGGAGGAGGAGGAGGAGGAGGAGGAGGAGGAGGGGCCCGCACCGAAGCAGTGAAACAGGGTCGGGCAGCGGGGCCGAGCAGCGGGGCGCGAGCGGCATGGGCTGCGGCCTGCGGGAGCAGGGCCGCGCCCCCTCTTCAGCGAGGGCACGGCAGCGGGAGCAGCAGGGAGGGCGAGATGGGGGGCCCCCCTCGCCCCTTCTCCCCGCCTCTCCTCCTCGCCCCAGGGTGCGAGGCGGAAGCTCCGTCGCGACACGTCGCGCGTGGAGCTGCGCGCTTGTCTTGCTTGGCCCGCTCTGGAGGCGCTGGGTCCCAAATAGGAGCATCTCCTGGAGGGCCGAGCTTCACTTCCACCGGCCTCCGGTGACCTTCCGCCGAGGGTGAGGACATGCCGAAGGCGAGGCCCTTTCGGACACGCCCTATCCTCAGCGGCGCGCCAAGGGGCGAAGGCAAAGGGGGTCGAAGGGGTCCAGCCTTCTGAGAAACGTTCGAAGCTCTCTCCGAAGCCGCAGAGGACTTCTCGGGGCTCCTGAGAGGACCCGCCACGTTCTGAAAAGGCCTGCCCCCTCTCGCTTTCCCCCTCGGCGAGCCGCCGACATCCATCTTCGCGCTCTCGCACAGCCCTCCAGGACAAAGAACATCTATGGAGGCTCGGACAGCGAAGGCGCGCAGCGCAAATGACAAAGCATCTGCGCGCCCACTGCGAGGCGGCCAGAAGGTGGGCAGCGGGAGGCTCTTCGGTGATGCTCCGAGCGCGCCGTCAGTGCCACCTCGTGCTTGTCCATCCGACGCGTGCAGGGGCGCAAGGGCCACCACGGGCAGCGCGCTATCGGTAGAGCTGCACGGGGTAAGACACACACACACACACAGACACACACACACACACACACACACACATTGGGCCAACACATGCCCTGAGGATCATCGAGCACTCTGAACGACGCGAGCGGCGGTCCTCCCGGCCACCTGCGCGACCTCCTCTATGGACTCCGCGATTGCCCTGTTCTGGATGAGGTTCTTGGCCTGCAGGCCCGCTGAGACATCGCGCAGCAGACAACGGAACCCAGGGGAGGGGCACGCCCTCGAGCCAACACTTGTGCCACATGGTGTTCCTGGTTGTACTCTGCGCCGCTCCACCCGACGGACCGTTCCGCCCCGCCTCACGCCCACCGAAACCAACCCCTCAAGCGAGCCAACGCCCCCACGCCCGGCGAAAGACCGCCCCGCGCGATCCACCCCCCTCACCTCTCGCAAGTGACGAGTCTGAGATGGGCGCAAGGGGGGAGCAGCTGATAGACCATAGGTTGGGATCGGAAATTCTCATGCGGGTTTCATCTGGATGCGCCAGCATTGACCTCGCTCCGAGGATGTAATGTTCGCCACCGTGCCGCTGGGCACGGAGTGGGCGTGCCCTCGGGTCCTTTTGTGTCGAATCCTCCCACCTCAAAGCTCACTCCTGCGGAGTCTGTTATAGGGGCCCGGACCCCAAAGTCCGAAATCTCCCGGGGCTTCCCGCGTGCCCCCCTGGGTCCGGGGAAATGTCCCCACGCGAATTCATCGGCCCAGGAGGGCCCCACGACGGGCCAAGAGTGCCCCAAGAAGCCCCCCAAGACGGTCCAGAAGAGCCCCGAGTGCTCCAAGACTTTCAAGATGGCCCCCAGACGGCCCGAAAGACTTCCAAGAAGCCCCCCAAAAGGGCGCCAAGAGGCCAAAATCATGGATTCGCTTTCGCCTTGTCGGCTCCCCGACGCTCCCAGACGGCCCCAGAGGCCCCCTAGAGCGCCCACCAAAACTGCCCAAGAGGGCCCCAAGACGGCCAAAAAGGCGCCCAAAACGGCCCAAGAAGGCCACAAGACAGCCCCAAAAGGGGCAAAAAAGAACACGAACCAAAAATCCGGGCCTTCCGGCCTGAGGCCCCCAGGAGGCCCCAATAGGCGCCCAGGAGACCCCACGAGGCCCACAAGAGGCTTTAGAGAGGCACCAGGAGGCCCCAACACGCCACCAAGAGGCGTCCAAACTGCTTCAAAGAGGCTCCCGAGAGGCCTCCGACGAGATCCCAGCGAACATTCAGTAGGCTTCATACCCACAACCCAAGCATTGTGGCGGGATGGGCCGAAGGCCATTCGATCCGCCGCTCCCTGTCGCTTGCAACAGAGGTGCCTGGCGTGCCAGACGTCTTCGGTTCTAGTTTTGTTTCTTTTCCGAAAAGAACTCCCCCTGGGGCTTCGGACCGTCCCGCCGGGGTGCCGGGAGGCTCTTCCAGGACCGCAAACGACCTCAACGTCTGGAAAACAATTCTCCAAGACGGCTCAAGATGGCCTCCAAGATGGCCACGTTGGCCCAAGATGGCCTCCAAGATGGTCCAAGATGGCCTCCTAGTCCGCCCAAGATAATCCAAGACGGCCTCCAAGACGGCCTGAGAGAGTCCAAGATACCTCCAAGTTCGCTCAAGAAGCCTCCAAGACGGCCAAAGAGGGCCCCAAGAGGTCCTCCAAGAGGGCCCGAAGAGGCCAACATCGCTGATGCTACTAAGTTTTTGAAGGATTTTGGCATTCGCTTCTTCTCTGCTTTCCGACGACCCAAGACGGCCCAAGAGGACCCCAAGATCGCCCCCACAGCGCCCAAGAGGCCTCCAAGATGGCCTCAGGACTGCCCAAGAGGCCCCCAAGACGGCCCCAAGAGGGCACAAAGACGACCCAAGAGGCCTCCAAGACACCCAAGATGGCCTCTAAGACGGCCCTGGAGCACCCCAAGAGGGCCCCAAGTCGGCCCAGAAAGGCCCCCTCAACGGCTTCCGACGGCCAGGAGCCCAGCAAGATTGTCGAAGTTGGCTCGAAGCTGGCCCAAGACGGCCCAAGAGGCCCCCAAGAGGGCCTCCAAGAAGGCTCGAACAGGCCAAAAACACTGATTACTCATAGGTGTTTTGAAGGATTTTGATATTTGCTTCGGTTCGGCCTTCCGACGGCCCGATACGGCCCAAGAGCCCCCAAAGATCGCCCAAAGATCGCCCAAGAGGCCTCCAAGATGGCCCCAGAACGGCCCAAGAGGCCCTAAAGACGGCCCCAAGAGACCCCAAAGACGGCCCAGGAGGCTTTTGAGACGCCCAAGATGGCCTCTACGACGGCCCTGGGGCATTCCAAGAGGGCCCCAAGTCGGCTCAGAGAGGCCCCCCAAAAGGTTCCCGACGGCGTCGGACGGGCCAGGGGCTCTTCAAGACGACCGAAGATGGCACTAAGATGGCCCAAGACGGCCTAAGAGGCCTCCAAGAGGGCCTCCAGGAAGGCCCGAAAAGGTCAAAATCATTTTTTCCACCGCACCCATTGGATGAAGGCTCGAACTCTAAAGAGGGCTCCAGGGCCGGCGGCATGAGCGAAGCGATTAATAAGCCAAATCTAAAAAACGCCGGCCGGGTTAACGTCACCCCAAACGGGCTCCGGTCATATTCCCCCCCGGAGGCGACAGAGATGGCTTACTGGAATTCCTAAAACACTTCGGTCAGGAATCCAACTCCTATCGAGCAAAACCCTGAGCTGCCGGATGTTATATATCTGACCCTGAGCACCGTGCACTAACACGAAAACTTAAAGTCCGACATTCTGCTGGGGCGGGCCGCAAGCCACAAGAGCAGGCTTCAAAACGCGGATGCCGCCACACACCTAAAGCCGAGTTCAAAGAAAAATAACGAATTTCCCCCCAGCACCAGGAGGAGGAAGCAGGAGGAGGTCGAGGAGGACAAGGAGGAGAGGAGGGGAACACTGACCCGCGCGCATAAATCGACACTGAGAGTGCCCATAGGTTTTTGAAGGGTTGTGGCGTTTGCTTTTGTTCTGCCTTCCGACGGCCCGAGACGGCCCAAATGCCCCCAAAGATCGCCCAAGAGGTCCAAGACGGCCCCAAGAGGGGACAACGACGGCCCAAGAGGCCTCCAAGACGCTCAAGATGGCCTCCAAGACGGCCCAAGAGCCCTCCAAGGCATCCTCCGAGAATTCCTGAAAGAGTCAAAATGGCCTCCAGGCGGCCAAGATGACCTTCAAGATGCCCACGTGTTCCCCGAATGCTTTACAAACCGATTCGGGGAACACCTGGTCCGATATCTTGGCATGTCTGGCCTCAACGTTCGGCCACCTAGGCGCTTCCACAAAGGCAGGGGGCGGCGGTGATTCGCCGTAGGCGATCCGCCGCCCCCTGTTGATTCATCGCAGGGGTGCCTGGCGTGCTAGACCGTGTAACGGGGTAGTTTTGACTCTTTCAAAAAGAGCTCCCCCCCGGGGCTGCGGCCCACTTCGCCTGCAGCCTGCCTCGTCGGCTTGTTCGGTCAATCTGGCCTCCTTGACGGCCAAGATGGTCCAACATGGCCTCCCAAGTTCGCCCAAGATGGTCAAACGTGGCCTCCAAGACAGCCCAAGAGGGACGCCCAATATGGCTCCAAGGTGGCTCAAAACGGCCTGCACCCAAGAGGCCTCCAACACGGCCCAGGGGGCCCCCAAGAAGGCCTCCAGGAAAGCCCGACGAGGCCAAAATCATTGATTTACATTCGGTTCTTGACAATGTTTGCCATTCGTTTCTGTTCGGCCTTCCGATGGCCCGAGACGGAACGAGACCGTGCAAGGGGCCTCCAAGATGGCCCCAGACCAGCACAGGAGGCCCCAAATATGGCCCCAAGAAGGCCCTAAGACGGTCCAAGGGGCCCTCGAGACTCTCAAGATGGCCTCCAAGACGGCCCTGGAGCCTAGAGCGCCCCAAGAGAGCCCCAAATCGGTCCAGAGAGGCCCCCAAGACGGCTTCCGACGGCGTCAGACCAGCCAGGAACACCCTAAGACGGGCAAAAAGGCCCCGAGAAACCCCCAAAGGCCCCCAACAGGCCCAAAGAGGCCACCAAGATGCCTCGAAGATGCTCCCAGGAAGCTCCCATGAGGCCCCAAGAGTGACCCCAGAGACTTCCAAGATGCCCGCTGCTTCTCCTCCTCCTCCTCCTCCTCCTCCACCTCCTCCTCCGCCTGATCTTCCCCGCCATCCTCCCCCAAGTGTTCGCCGAAGGGTTTCCACAACGGCTGAGGGAACACAGGGTCCGTTAGCTTGGCATAGCTCTTGCCACAACGCTCGGCCACATGGGCGACTCCAGAAGGCAGGGGGCGGCGGTAATTCGACGTAGGCATCTTCGATTGGATGACGGTGAAGAATCTAATGCGGAGGAACTACCTATAAGACAATTCTCTGCCGCTGGGGGACAATACGTTGAGAGGACGAACCGACACCCTCAGTGACCACGACGCGCACGAGCAAGCCTGTAGCCCAACTTGTTAATTGATCAATCCGCATGGCCCGTGGCAGTACTGCGTGGCGCCCTCTCTGGGCATTTATTAACTCGGGGACCACACAGTGGCATAAACACTGCGTCCCTGATGTCCGTGCGGATTCCTCGGATCCGCGCCGGACCCCATCACTGGCGCGCGGGACGGCGTCGAATGCGCCACCAGGGTGCACCAGCGCCGATCCGAGGAATCCGCACGGACCTCAGAGCTTTTTATGCCGATGTTTTGTCCCCGAATTGCTATCCTGCTTTGCACTTGCTTCCGCCGAACCCTTGCGGGCGTCCGCCGGCGGAGCCGCATGGCTCTACTTACCCGCTGGCCTTCGCCAACTCCCTGCTAGAATCCGGACGGCAGGGCCCGCTTTCTGGAACGCGATGTATGAAGGAGCCTCGGGGCACACACATAAATCAACACATGTGCGTGTATCCTGTGGAAGGTTGTTTCCCAGATTTTCCTGCGAAGCCTAAATTTACTCGTGTCTGTCTGCGTTTTCCCTCCTGGCTGTAAACGCCCGTCGGCGCATGCTGGAGTCAAGAACGCGTCCTTGCACAACCAGTCGGCGACAAAAGCGTGCCAGGGACGTGCTAGGAGCGCCCTTCCCCAGACATCGGCGAGCAATCATATCATAGCTCGACCCCTCTGCGTGAGGTAGCTTGATCGAGCGAGGTTGGCCTGTGACGGTGCGCATAAGGGGCCGCGGTGATCTTTGCC